CTCTAAGGTTGGTATGCGGCTTGTCATGGGACTGACGAAACTAATGCAGTGTCGATTGGCAGCGCTTTACTTATTTCATCCTGTTGCACGAAACTGGACTTACCAAAAGCGTTAATTGTCGCTGTCCTGGAAACTTAGTGCTTCCACACGCCAGGAAAAGACAGGTATGTTTAATGGAACTGTATTGTTAAATTATTTCACTTCGATCATTCCATTTAAAAGTTCTTTTCAAGCACCGTTTGTTTCTTGCCTCAGTTTCCTTGCATGTCCACAGTACCCTTACCGCTGCTGTGTACAGATTCCAAAACGTGGTCCTAATAATATAAATAGTAATTTTGTAACACGTAATTATTCCAAATCAGACTTTTTTAAATAAAACACAGTCTAATAAATTTGATAAAGTAAATAAATCTGCCAATGAATGCAAAATGTTTACATTTCAGAGGCGCCTTACTTCATTGAATGCAGAATCTGTTTTGTCAGTCATTAAAAAGAACACTTCTTGGCCACATGCAGGTCACCATGAGGAAGAGTTTCAGTTGTCAATACTGTGACAAAGCTTTCAAGAACAAACATGAACTGATAGCCCATGAAAGAATACACACTGGAGAAAAACCATTCAAATGTCAGCACTGTGATAAAACGTTTACCCAAAAATCACACTGTGTGAGACACGAAAAGACTCACACTGGAGAAAAACCATTTAAATGCCAGCACTGTGATAAAACATTTGCCCATAAAGCACACTGTTTGAGACATGAAAAGACTCACATGGGAGAAAAACCATTCAAATGCCTATACTGTGATAAAAGATATAGTCGTAAAGAACACCAAGCAGAACACATGAAAACTCACACAGGAGAAATACCATATAAATGCCAGTATTGTGACAAGGCATTTACCATGAAAAGAAGTTATGTAAAACATGAAAAGATTCACTATGGGGAGATAGTTCACCCTCTGCAGTGGTGTGATACATGTAAGACGTCCATGACACAAACACATAGTAAAGCAGAATCAAGGGTTCACGCTGGATTTAAATCTCTGAGATGTCAGCAATGTGACAAACCTTGCAAGCCATGCAGTGAGAAACAGTTTTGTGGAAGGACCTTTGTAAGTAAACAAGACTGCATACACCATGAAAGAATTCACACTGGAGAGAAACCATACCAATGTCAGTACTGTGGTAAAACATTTGCTGCTCGACAGACTTGTTTGCAGCATGAAAGGATCCACACAGGAGAGAGGCCATTCAGGTGCAAGCATTGTGATAAAGCTTTTGCTCAGAGAAGGACTTGTTCTGAACATGAGAAGACTCACACTGGTGAGAAACCCTTCAAGTGCCAGTTTTGTGACATGAGCTTTGCTGAAAAGAATACTAAGGTTCACCATGAAATGATTCACACAGGGGAGAAACCATACAAGTGTCAGTTTTGCCAGAAGGCATTCGCACAAAGAAAAGGTTGTGTCAATCATGAGAAAATTCATTCAGGTGTAAAAGGGTTCAAATGCCAACACTGTTACAGAACTTTTTTCCAGAAAAGATCATGTGTTGTACATGAAAAGATTCATGAAGAAGAGAGGCCATACAAGTGTAAGTATTGCCCCTCTGCATTTAACTTCAGCCGGAATAAAATCAGACATGAGAAGAGACACGAAATGGAAACTACAAGGTCGCTCAAAAATAAACAAAAAACTGTAAACAAGCCATTTAAATGCCATATCTGTGGAAAAGCATTTGCCCATAAAAGATCTTGTAAAAGACACAAAAACAATCATCCTGAAGAGAAACATTACAAATGCCAGTTCTGCCAAGTATCATTTGCCTTTGACAGCAGTAAGAGAAGGCATGAGAAAAGACACCAGGAACAAAATGCTCACCCTCTCAGTGTTGAACAAGTGACGGATAATGGCCTTTATACATGCTCTGCTCCTGAGACTGCTTCAGGGGACCAGAATGAATATGAAACCCAGGAAGATGACACAGTCAAACTGAGCACAAGGGGCAACCTTAGTTGTGAATCTGAAGAAGTCAGTAGCAAAGAAACAAAAGTAAAGTTTGAAAGCAATGTAACATGTGACAAGCAAGTGGGTGGTGGAGATGTTGGTATAAAGCAGGAATTGTGGGAAGTATGCACCTGTTCCCATGACAACGTGGCAGTGGTCAAACAGGAAAACTTGATAGTGGTCAAACAGGAAAACTAGACAATGGTCAAACAGGAAAACTGGATTGTGGTCAAACAGGAAACTAGACATTAGTCAAACAGGGAAACAGGAAATTTGTCTCCCCAAACGAAAAGGATTAGGACAGCTGAGGACAGTGCTTTGCCCTGCCTATGAACTGAAATTTGTTGCCAACAGTGCTTAAATTATTTATAAACAAAACCATGCTACAGAGATCCATATCATGCTTTTCAAAGAAATAGCCATGAAATGATCTTCTCTTATTGCTCTGATGATCATTATTGATTCCATCTGTTCACAACATCTTGTAAATTTATATTGAGCTGAAAGCTATCATATCATAATCGGTGCTTATAATGTATAAAGTGGTTAAGTTTTAAAATATAAGATTATTATAATTATAGTTTAATTGAAGCTCATTCTATATTTTAATACTTAGAACAGGTTGAAAACGTGTATTTTGCCACACTTCCGGAGGATTAACTAGTGAAGAGGATGCAATTTGGGGTATTTTTTCAGTAGTTCATAGTAATAATATAATATAATATAATATAATATAATATAATATAATATAATATAATATAATATAATATAATAGTTTATTAAACTTGTCTTTGTCTTTCTTTAAAATTTGCATAGTGCTGTGCATCTTAACTTCTAAAGTGACAAGGTTTGCTTTAAGCAGGGCATCAACCCCCCTTACTCCCTGGGGGTTCACGCTAAATTGCAGTCAGTCAATCACACAGGGAAGTTAATTTCTCCCTTTCAGCTTGTAGTAGGCCGGATTTATATTTAAGCCGGATTATGTGACAGTAATCTAATGAGACTCCCCACAGGGATAGATCGATCTAAAATCTATGGGAATGCGCCCTAAGATGTAAATGAATAAGATGTCCAATAACAGCACAACTTCGTGACGCGGACTCACTGAAAAGTTTCAAATTACCATGGCCCATAGGAGCCTTCGCGTGCGTCTTTTAGAAGCCCCTTTACATGCGTAAACGACGTGGCTTATGCCGAGTTTGTAAAAGACTACAGAGCCTTGAGAGCCAAAAATGACGTGGCTGTATCTGTTTTGCCACCTACTGAACTCCATAGATGCGAGATTAACACAACCCATGTTGCGTTCGTCTCTTACTGTGAATTTTTAACTTCAAATAACTGCCATGACGTTACGTTTTTCTGCCAGTTGCAATCTGACCACTGAGTGAATCTGACTGAAATAGGCTAACTCTTCATCTTCATTATATCAGCTGTAATTTGGGGCACTCCAAGACGGAGAATAGTACATTTTGGAAATTCTACACTATATTCAGAAATCGAGCTTTATTCTGCTTGAAACATGCCATTTCTTTAACTAGTGAATATTAACTTTATATATTTTCGGCATTCTACAGCTATCTATTTAACGTTGCTCAGTTGCCACAGGTAAACAGCGAGAGGCTTTGAATGCCCTAAGGTTGGTATGCGGCTTGTCCTGGCACTGATAATGCAGTGTCGATTGTTAGCACTTTACTTACTTTACACTGTTCAAAACTGGGGATTTATAGGGTGGTATTGCCATAAGCGTTGTCGCTATTATGGAAACATAGTGCTTCCACACGCCGGGAAAGACAGGTATGTTTCATGGAACTGTAGTGGGACATAAGTTCACTTCGATCGTTCCGTTTTAAAGTTCTTTTCTAGCACCTTGTTTCTTGCCTCAGTTTTCTTGCCTAGCTTTCGGCCTTACATGCCCACAGTACCCTTACCGCTGCTGTGTACCAAAGTTACGTACACCTACTAATATTTAATAGTAATATTGTAACACGTACTTATTCCAAATCATACTTTTTCTAAATAAAACAGTCTAATAAATTGAAAAAGTAAATAAATAAATTTTCCAGTGAATGCAAAATGTTTTCATTTGTATTTCAGAGGTGCCTAACTTCGTTGAATGCAGAATCTGTTTTGCCAGTCTTAAATAAGAACATTTCCTGATCATATGCAGGTAGCCATGAGGAAGAGCTTCAGTTGTCAATACTGTAACAAAGCTTTCAAGTACGAACATCATCGTATATCCCATGAAAGAATCCACACTGGAGAAAAACCATTCAAATGTCAGCACTGTGATAAAACATTTGCCCAAAAAACTCACTGTTTGAGACATGAAAAGACTCACATGGGAGAAAAACCATTCAAATGCCAGTACTGTGATAAAAGATATAGTCGTAAAGAACACCAAGCAGAACACATGAAAACTCACTCAGGTGAAAAACCATATAAATGCCAGTATTGTGACAAGGCATTTACCACGAAAAGAAGTTCTGTGAAACATGAAAAGATTCACTATGGGGAGATAGCTCACCCTCTGCAATGGTGTGATACATGTACTAGTAAAACGTCCATGACACCAAGACAAAGTAAAGCACAATCAAGGATTCATGCTGGATATAAATCTCGGAGGTGTCAGAAATGTGACAAACCTTGCAAACCGTGCGGTGAGAAACAGTTCACATGTCAGTTTTGTGGCAGGACCTTTTTTGGTAAACAAGACTGCATACACCATGAAAGAATTCACACTGGAGAGAAACCATACCAATGTCAGTACTGTGATAAAACATTTACTGCTCGACAGACTTGTTTGCAGCATGAAAGGATTCACACAGGAGAGAGGCCATTCAGATGCAAGCATTGTGAGAAAGCTTTTGCTCAGAGAAGGACTTGTTATGAACATGAGAAGACTCACACTGGTGAGAAACCCTTCAAGTGCAAGTTTTGTGACATGAGCTTTGTTGAAAAGAATACTAAGGTTCGACATGAAAGGATTCACACAGGGGAGAAACCATACATGTGTCAGTTTTGTCAGAAGGCATTCACACAAAGAGGGGGTTGTGTCGAGCATGAGAAAATTCATTCGGGTGTGAAAGGGTTCAAATGCCAACACTGTGACAGAGCTTTTTTCCAGAAAAGATCATGTGCTGAACATGAAAAGACTCATGGGAAGGAGAGGCCATACAAGTGTAAGTATTGCCCCTCTGCATTTTACTTCAGACAGAATAGATTCAGACACGAGAAGAGACATGAAATGGAATCTACACAATCACTTAAAAATAAACAAAAAAATGTAAACAAGCCATTTAAATGTTATAACTGTGGAAAAGCATTTGCCCTTAAAAGATCTTGTAAAGAACATGAAAAGAATCATTTGGAAGAGAAACGTTACAAATGCCAGTTCTGCCAAGCATCATTTGCCTTTGACAGCAGTAAGAGAAGGCATGAGAAAAGACACCAGGCACAAAATGCTCACCCTCTCAGTGTTGAACAAGTGACAGATAGTGATGTCTGCCTTAATAAATGCTCTGCTCCTGAGGCTGCATCAAAGGACCAGAGTGAATATGAAATCCGGGAAGGTGACACAGTCAAACTGAGCACAAGGGGCAACCTTAGTTGTGAATCTGAAGAAGTCAGTAGCAAAGAGACGAAAGAGAAGTTTGAAAGCAATGTAACAGGTGACAAGCAAGAGGGTGTCGGGAATATTGGTACTAGTATAAAGCAGGAATTGTGGGAAGTATGCACCTGTTCCCATGACAACGTGGCAGTGATCAAACAGGAAAACTTGATAGTGGTCAAACAGGAAAACTAGACAATGGTCAAACAGGAAAACTGGACAGTGGCCAAACAGGAAAACTGGACAATGGTCAAACAGGAAAACTAGACAATGGTCAAACAGGAAAACTAGACAATGGTCAAACAGGAAAACTGGACAATGGTCAAACAGGAAAACTGGACAATGGTCAAACAGGAAAACTGGACAGTGGCCAAATAGGAAAACTAGACAATGGTAAAAACTAAACAGTGGTCCAACAGGAGATTTGTCTCACTTGGTCCAGCTAAACAGGATGCTGAGGACAGAGTTCTGCCCTTCCTATGAACTAAAACTTCAATTCTTTATAAACAAAACCATGTAAAAGAAACCTGTCCAGTTGATTTCAAAGAAATAGTCATGAAAGATAACGATCTCTTATTGCTTTGATGATCATTATTGATTCCATCTGTTCACAACATCTTGTAAATATTGAGCTGAAAGTTATCATATCATAATCAGTGGTCAGTGTATAAGAGAATGTTTAAAACATAGGATTATTATAATTATCGTTTAATTGAAGCTCATTCTATATTTTAATACTTAGAAAAGGTTTAAAACATGTTTTGCCACACATCTGGAGGAATAACTAGTGAAGAGGATGCAATTTTGGGTATTTTTTCAGTAGGCCACAGTAATACTAGTAATGTAATATAATAGTTAATTAAACTTGTCCTTATCTTTCTTTAAAATATGCATAAGACAAATCAGGAAGTAAAATTCTGAGTGTTCTAAACTGAGTAGTTTCTGTTATATTGCCATTGTATCCTTGATAAAACAAAGTAAACAGGCAAATATTACAAGATGCTAGCTTGTTTCAGAAAACCAAAAATGGAATAACTTTAGATTGTTGTACTCAGACATTTAACAAGGCAGCAAAGCTGTCAAATGTACAGACAAAAAGCAGGAAATAACTATGCACAAAATAGGCTACTGTCAATTCTGATGCAAAAGTACATTATGTTAAACTGTAAATTCAACATCAATTTTTAATTATGCTCAACAGGAAATACCAATGAAAGTAAAATGTGTAACAAGCATAAGGCTTCAGGCCCATGAGAGTTCAAGTTCACACTTTGAAAATGTATAACTTCCAGAAAAAGAAGCCAATTAGACTGCTTTTCCAACTCAGGCTGCATGCCGATTTTCGAACTTGACCTCCGTTTTAGTAAGATCGATTACTCCTGAGAGTTTCACGACAACAGGCCTATCGGTTTTCCTTGAAATGTGTTTACAGTGTTGCATATATGTTGAAAAGTGAAAGAAAAAAGCATAACTTCTACAATAATGGCCCGATCATCCTGTTTTTTGAACTTGACCTGGGTTTTATGAATATTCATCAGCTCTTTAAATATAAAGCCCAAAAGTAAAACTGCCTTCCACTTATCGTGTTTACAATAAAAGTGCAAGGTACATCTGTACATATTTACTGTACTGTTTGAGAACAGTAAGTGACATGGTTTTTCTTAAATGGTCATCATGGGAGCAGTGCCCAAAATAGGTTTTTTTCAAATTTTGACGCAATATTACATAATGTTTAACAGCATAATGACCATCAATTTTTAAGAATAAAATATTAGTATCATGGATATTCAGAAAATGTGACTAGCAAAGGTCTTCAGGCCCATGGAACTTCAAAGCCACAACTTGAAAATGCCAAAATGTAAACAAGACAGCACTGTTCTGAAATGGGTTTATTTCCATTTTTAACAATTTTTAACATAAAACAAAATGAACAGTTTACTGCCATTTTTATATGATCAACTAAGAAAATTGATGAGATTGGAAAAATATCAATATAACAGTGTTAAATGTCCAATTTCCTCCATTCTGAGATTCTGAACATAGTGGATGATTGAATCTGACAAACTGCAATGATATGAGTTTATTTCCATTTTTGACACTTTATTACACAATACACGATAAAAAGTTTACCATCATTTTTACATAATCANGAGAGTACTTCTTCCATGATGTGACCTTTGTTGTACTTCGTAAGTGCTGCTATAATTAGATAAAACACCAACACTGTAAGACTGTTATAATGTTTATTACTCTTCAACTGAACACTGCCTTTAGTTACAAAGATGGATTCCAAATATTGTATAAACAGTGACATGTAGGTTATTACTTCAGTTCATTCCATGAGAAAATATTGTCCTGTGACATTCAACAAGGCATGTTGTGAACTGCTCAGGTCAGAGCAATAAGTTTACTGAATAACCTCAAAAGTGAAGTGTGTTGGGTGTGATGTGTGCAATGTTGTTGAGAATGCCTAGAGCTGTGATTGTGTTAGGTGTGACAGGTGTCACAACGTTGGGTGCATTGAGGATAACTTTGGAATGAAGTGTACAAATACCATAACAAACTTGCAATGCCAATTGCTAGATTAAAACATTATATAACGATACTACGTGAATATTTACAACAGAGCATACCATATCTTTCTAAACTTAACAATCAGTGCATTGACATTGCTATCTGCCGAATACACAATTCAACTGCTCCTGAAATCCGTTACAAGGTATGGTGTATAATATGTATATAGTAGAATTAATGAAAAAGATTAATATTGCTAAAAATCTAAAATGAAGAACAAAAAGACAAGAAATGAAATATGTATTATATCCACAAAATATGCATCTTCTAACTAGTGCAGCATGAGAGGTGTCCATTCTGTTATTTTTCCCCACAATCCATGTTTTGGCCTCCAAGAACTTGTAAGCACCTCTGACAAAATAACAGCTTCTATGTCTGTTAATGTGCATACATACTAACATAAGATATATGCTATGATCATGGGGAAAAAACAACATCAACTTGGCCATCAACCAACCTGATTACTATCTATTAACATTATTTATATAACATGAATGAGTTCTTCTGCAGTACTGTGCTGCTTTGACTACAATATTGATGCTTCAGATTGGCAAGGAGATCTGCACCACAGTATAGCTCAAACAATGGCTGCGGAGTGATGGCTGATATACTTTGGCATGACAGCAAGACCTGCATTTTTCTTGATTGCACTGTAGAAAAGTAAGAGGCTTTTACTTCATTATAGTTAGAACTGTGCCTGGATTGACTACTGGATATAACACTGCAATGTGAACACTTAAACAATGGGTTTCACAACAGCAACAAAACCCAGATCCCCTATTCTGGTAAATATGCATAGTGTATAGTATACAGTGCACAGTTTGTAGTGTACATGAGCTGCTCTCCATGAAGACACAAAACAGTCTGAAATATTCATAGCAAGAACATGGATGTGCACTGTAAAATATTCAAAAGTGGCACTTTACTCCACTTTCCATAAAAGAAACATATTCAGGCAAAGATAATAATATTATTACAATCATGTGATATTTCTCTTTGCTGCATATGGATGTCATGAACAACAAAGTTCTTGCCACTGTTATTTAATCCTATCTGCTATAACATGAAGTGCCTTATTTGCCATACTTCCACATACATTTTTATCCCTCAATGTATTAACACTTCAGTAAATAACCTCTCAATGTATACTTTCCATAAAATTCAAACAAAATTTCAATAAAATCCAACTTTTTAAAAAATAATGACAGTGATGAATAAGATATAAATGCACATGTGAAGTTTATCACAATTTATGAGCCCATAACCTGTCTGCCGTAATTCTGATCTAATTTCAACATACTGCTCTTCTGTTTAATATTGAATCACCATTCTAAATTGTGTTAGTTGTGACGGCTAACATTTTGTGTTGGTTGTGACATTGCAGCTTATCTATAGCACATAATTTAGGAGTCAGATGTGACACGCCAACCAAGGTTAAGACAGGAATCACACAAAACTCTAGCACCCAACAGATAATTATACAAAGTTAAAAAATAAAAATACCACCACCTCTCATCTAATAACAATGTGGTGCCTTGTTAAATAGTGATTTTCCTCAACAGGTGGATACCTCTAATCTTGGTAGAGGGCACCACTTCCCTGAGCCTGGGTAGTGACATACAGCTCCAATTACCCAGGGCTGTTCTTAAAACACACCTTAACATGATGATCAACAAGAATTCTCTGAAAACAGTACAATAAATTAGCTGGCTTACATTTAAAATTGTGGATTTCTAGTTGCTTCAGTTTTATCTGATGAAAGCAACTCCTATGTCAACTGTAATGTTGAAAACTGCTCCAATGTTAGCTGCAAAGACAAAAACTGCTCCAATGTCAACTATAAAGTTGAAAACTGCTCCAATATCAGCTGTAATGATGAAAACTGCTCCAACATCAGCTGCAATGATGAAAACTGCTCCAATGTCAGCTGTAATGTTGACAGCTGCTCCAAATGTCTTGTTTCAGCTCTGTTCAAGATCTCAGTTGCACACACCAGAGCTCTATACTTTATGACAACACCTTATACACTGGTCAGCATCAGCTCCCTGAAAGAGAAAAGTTTTTGTGAGGAATGCACGTTGAACACAAAGTGTGTGTGAATGCATGACTGTGAACAAGCAAACATATCCTAATATATACACATCACACAAATATTAGCTATTTGACACAAGCTGGGATACTTTTCCTCACCATATGTTAAATTGTGGCCCACTTGATTGTAAACCTTCAAGGTACATACGAGCATCGGTGGAGTGTGGATTCCCAGTAACACATGTAAACCACTTCTACTAGATTCTTATATGACTCAAATAAATTTGATAGCCAAGGGATAAACTGAATAGATCACTCGATCGGCCATAAAAGACCTTCAGACCTTCAGATTTTTGGTTGTAAATTTAACCTACTTTCATGACCTACTTTCCTTCCCCACTGACATACAGCTTAGAATGCCAGCAGAAAAATCTGTTCAAACATCATTTTCGGGTAAAATTAAACAATGCCTTTTGGTAATTCTCTTAGTTATACTACTTGAAACTATATGCTGGCATTTGGTTGGTTTTTGTGACAAAAAATTGACTTTATATGCATCTTTCATCAAACTGATGTGAGTAGATGTTGTTATTCACTGACTGCTAGATGGTCCTACTGTAAATGTTCATAGATTGAAACTTTCTGATAGATTGAAACTTTTTATTTCCCACCTCCTCCCTCCCCTCTCAGCCTCCCTATCCCTTTTCATGGGCAGCTGGTGACAGCTGGTGTCCATTGCCTCTGGTATTTTCTGTGGTTAGGTAGAATACGTAGGATAAAATGATTGGTAGGATAAGCTAATATATGGTGAGGAAAAAGCTTGTGTCAAATAGTTTTTATTTGTATTCAAATACCAAGCTAATGCAATTTTTTTTCTTTTTTTTTTTTTTTGCTTATATACATCCTAATTCCCTATGTAACAGCATACTTACACACAAACCCTGGGGTCCTTTTCCTCCTTCTCTGAACGATCTCTGCTGACAGAAGAATATGAAGTTGACTGTGATGTTGACCCCGAAACCATCCTGCGATCAACGCCAACATAACCATAAGGGGGCGCTGTGATCTGACAGCCAATCAGCTTGGCTCCAATCATAATGCAGGAGCAACACAGCATACACCCACCTGAGGATGTGAGAGAACACAAATGCAATGTTGCAATTAACACAATTCAAAGTCAAATGTAGACTTTACATAACATACCATTATATTAACATGGAAATAAGCTTTTCAATGTTTGTAGTACTGCTCTATGGCCCCATTCAGAACAGATGATCAGTGTACTTACTGATCTGCCGACAGGTCTCCTAAACTCCACATGCGCTTTTCAACAGATGAAATCTCTGCTCCAAGGTTAAATTGCTAGGTCCCTGCAGCGACAGTGCGCGTGGGGGCAGGGAGAAGATCAGGAATCAGCAGCATCGCTTTTGAACTGTGGTCGACCATATTTAGTCGGCGGATCAGTAAGTACTTGGATTATCCATTCTGAATGGGGCCTATGAACAGTGACAACCCTGATTCAGTTACATGTTGCTATAATAAATGACACATTCATTTCACTGTGCAATTTACATACCTGCTGTGTAAAACACATAGTCAAAATTGTTGGTCTCATCATACAGCCAACCAGCCAAAGGAGCGCCACCTATACACCCCAAACCAATGGACAGCGCCAACCAGCCATTCCCCATGGAGGCATACTCTCGTCCAATCAGTTCCTTAGTTGTGTGAGCAGAAAAAGTGGGCCAAAATCCTGCAAAGATGCCAAACAACAGACAGTAGGCAATCATGCTCGAGTAGTGTTCAAACAACTGAGGCCAGATGAAGGTGAGGATGAGAGAAATCCCCACACTACAAAGAAGGTTGACAAATATGTCTGAGATCTGCAGCAGGCGGAACAAAGTCCTGCACACAAACAGGGAGATTCCTATGATGGAGACCAGCAGAGCTGCATCTAATTGGGTCTCCTCGGCAGGGGGTCCAGACAGGTGCTCTGACAGGTGTTCCCAGGCAAACATCGGCAGGTAGGTGTAGATGATAGACGCACTGCAGCTCCACAGCAGGTTGCTCAGCATCAGGATCAGGAAGTTGAAGTTACCTAGCAATGGAGCATGAAATAACGGGAAAGGCACAAAGTTTTTCTTGCCACCAGGGGGCGGTCTCATCAGCACTCCACACAGCATGATATTGAGTGCTATCCCTGAGAGGATGAGGATGGCCCCCTTCCAGTGGAGGAGCTCTATGAGGAGGTGCAGACAGGGAGGGAACACCGCGATACCCATACCAATCCCCCACACTGCCAGACCCAGCGCAAAACTACGCTCAGCGTGGCGGAAATGCTGCTCCACTGCCATTATAGAAGGGGAGAATGCCATACCTAGACCCAATCCTGAAACAGAAAGAGCACTTCATAAACTTGGTGATAAAATTAACCATAATGTCAAGTTAAAAATGCTGCTCTGCTGGGGATTTAATGAGTACTTTCCTTAGATCCTTTCTTTCAAATTATGTGCAAAGACTGTCATCTTACTAAAACTGCTTTCACGGATATAGCCAATTAATACATATTTGACACAAAGAACCTTGAAGAGATCTTCCTACCACTAGATGTCAGTACCTACCTCCCACCACACCAATACTCAGGTACAATAACCAGTGAGCCCAGATCAGTCGAGAAATTCCAAATCCCAACGCGGAAACAAATCCTCCAACCATCACTGATGTACGACAACTCAAGTTTCTGGAGACATAAACTCCTATGATTCCTAAAATTGAGAAGGAAATCAGTAATTTTTTCTCACCAATAAAATATGATATGTGTACAAAATTTTAAAATATATATATATTATAAAAACTAAGCAAAACTGATATGTTTCTGCATCAAATGTGAAATTATGTGAGGTATAACAACATGAGAGGTGTAACACTGATGAAGGTGAGATCATTTGCATACTTGGACACTGTATTTGGTATGACAGTGTGTTAGGTGTGATGATGTGTTAAGTGTGACAGTACAGTACACACCTCCAAATGCAGTGCATCCCAGCAGCAATGAGCCTATCCAAGAAGTCCTGAAATGACTTTGGTCAAACTCGTCCAGAAAGGTCAGCTGATAGATGCCAGCACTGTAGCATAGACCACAGGTGATAAGCTGGACCATCAGGGAGGAGAAAACTGTGATCCAGGACCAGCCTGTTGGTTCAAATGGCTCCTCGTAATCCACACCCATCTTTGTCTCTAAAGAGTGCTAGGGCTGGTTGAAGAAGAAAATTAAGGTTAGAAATAAATTATTATCTTAACAGAACTGGGAAAGAGAGACTCAACACACCCTTAGCACTGTTTAACCCAGGCCAGTGAATATCACAGTCTGATTGCTTAGATACAGTCCAGTTCTTCCAAATGCAAGTCTGCGTATATGTTATGCCAGATCTTAAGTTAATGCACACTTGTATTGGTACTGTAAACTATCAAATTGCCACTAATGGTCACACAACCAAACACACACACACACACACACACTCACACACACACACACACATGGGGGGATTTGACAATAATGATGCTGGCACCCACAGACTGGGTTCCCATGCCTGTAACAGGATCGATCTCTCCAAGGGGTTTCTCACTAAATTGCTTTCAGCTTAAGCGACATAGATTGCTAAACGATAATTAATTACCCCTAATAAGCAGCTTCCCTAATGGTGATCATAGTTTACACTACACATATATGTGATATTTTTGATAAAGAAGACTTCCAACCTTTCATAAGTGGACTGTTTCCTACCAAACAACAACATACTAGTAACCTTTGGAAAAACACTGCCATATGATATTTCAAGGTTCCCTATACTCCATTACTGCACCAGTATTCTGGGTTTAATTCTCAAGGGCTATTGCATTGATCACTAGGATCCATATTAAAGCTTAGCCTTATGAATTACACTACCTGTTTCCTTGTGTGACCATGTAATAACTATATTAAAGGTATATTAATTGCATAACTAGTGTCTGATAATCCCTGTGTGATTATGTTTATTTGTATGAAAGATTTTTAAATTACACTACCTGTTTCCTTGTTTGGATATGTACTAGTAATACCTATATTAATTCCTTGTGTGGCTATGTAATATCTATGTTGCAGGCTCAATCCCGCATTATGCCAAATTGGGATTGGTGGATTTAGAATATGACTGGATTGGGACTTGGCCGGTGACACCTATATTAAAACTATATTAATTATACTACCTGCTTCCTTATTTGGCTATGTACTATCTAAAATTAAAACTATATAAATTACACTACCTGTTTCCTTGTGAGGTTATGAAATATTTATATTAAAACTATATTAATAATAATTACACTACCTGTTTCCTTGTGTGGCTATGTAATATCTATATTAAAACTATATTAATTACACTACCTGTTTTCTATGGCTATATTACATTTATATTTAACCTGCATCTAGCTAAGTGCACACTGGTACCGTAACGGTGAACTTTCAGACTTTGTCCCTATTGTATTGTGTTTTATGGCAGCAAAGGAGCTAAGTGGACTTTGACCACTCTACCCTCCCTGCTTGGCAGCTGTGGTATTTCTAATGGCTGTAGATCACTAACCAGTGTATTTGTTTCCAATACAAACTAGCATAGTTCAGTATGAATAAGTACAAATCTGAAGATCTATCAGGATTTTCATACAGTTGAGGAAATGAGGCATTCTCAAAAACACAGCAGCAATAACTGGTCATCTTTACACTTTGATTTGACTTTGCAAATGATCAATTTACAAAACTCTCATAAACGTGTTCTTGATGATGACTGACTCAAGAATGACTGAAGAGGCTGTTCACACTAGTGTATGGAATCCATTTAGTATTATATCCAAACACTTTTGGTATCAAGACATTAATGATTACGACAACAGACTAACCACTACGTACGTGTACATGTACATGTACAGTACTCTGCACTGATCACACATTAGATTCGGGATTATTTTTGATATTATACGCCTTCACAAATAGGGTACAATCAAATCATAGACACGTACATCTAACTTCACCTAACTACATTGCTGTACGAATATTCAGCATCAAAGTTGAAGATATAAATAATAGATTTAATAGCACATCAGCTCCGAGTGTTGACCAGTGCATGGAAACCACGAGCAGACTTGACGACACTAATTAACTGCTATTAATCTACAATTCTTAAACAATCACCCTATTAGGCGTTAACAGTGGTCCCAGCTGACGATAAAAATCTTCCCCAACTCACCTTAAGGGCTCTTTAATTAAAATAAAACTGTCAGAAGTAATATCCGCACTGTGCCTCCATCTTGCCCTCTTTGTTTTGGTGGAGTGATTTATGGGATATGAAGGTCACATGACTTACTTCCTGACGTCACACAACCAGGAAATCTTGTTGCGTCATAGCAGGTGCCATTTTTCAATAAAACTTGTCGAAAACTAGGAACCAAGACAGAAATGTCTTGGATCTTAGTAAAAGGAGACATATATTAATTTTAAGGTTCTTACTTTTGGGTCAGCTTGGAAATAGAGCTGGAGATAAGACAGTCATTCTTTGCTAGTGGTGCACTGCGGGGGGACCATAACAAGAATGTTATTTAAATTTTGATAGCCGACCAAATTCTCATGACATCGTTGTGTATGTTTCAATAACAAATCAAAGAAGCTGCATGAGCAAGGAAGATATTGTTATAAAAGCAAAAGAAGAGAAAAAGCAGAAAATATATCGAAATTACCCTCAAAATGGCGTCTTTTTTTGTGGAATTTCGACCCTACCTCTGTTTAGGAACAGTTTGTTTAGGGTTTGAATGAATTATTGAAGCAGGGAATACACCTACTGCAAGAAGATATAATAAACAGAATGTGCAAATGGTTATTTAAATAAAAATTTATTTGAAGTCACTGAAAAATGATCACAAAATTAGCTTAACTTACGATACATGCGGTGTCCCACCCCGATGAAAATTTCATCTAATCCTATCTTTCCGTATTAAAACTGTTCAATCGTCCAAAGTAGTATTTCGGTTAGTTTGTGTCACGAAATCCATGATAATATCAGTTTTCTTAAGAATTTCACATTTATTGCTCAGCAAGGTCGATATTTCTTCACCGCGTCCCAATATTACGTTCGCAACGCTGAAACTTCAGAGATCGATTCTTATCAGACGACTTTAAAATGCCGCGTGAAAATTATACATCGATAGCGATCTTCTTCCATACTCACTAACTGATGACGTCTACACACGAATGGCTTCTTTTACACACTAAAAAAACCAGCTCAAACTGGCGGGTGGCCCATTCTGATAACATGTCACGCAATGACGCTGTCGAGATAGGATGCAGGGCACAGGTGTAATTCCCTCGATTTAACCGTCACAGGATTGTTTATTGGGATCTTCTTTGTATGAAGGTGAGAAATAATGAGTTTCGTTTCATTTTTCTTCAATTGTTTCAACATATTTGTGTACCGATTGATTTTTACCATTCTATAAGTAGGGTGACTTCGTCTGAACTTTCGTTTTGCGTCTGTTTCACATGGGGGACTAAAGGTCATATTGAACATGGTGACGCGGTGATACCGTATTCATGTTCTCTTGTTCTCGAAAACTCAATCATCGAAATTGAATTACTTTTTTTTAGTTTTGTCTTAAATTAAGCTGCTACACTGTATTCCGTGCGTTTAAAATTTAACCGTCTGTAAAAACAGCAATAATGGATTACTAGCAACACTTACGTTACGCAATGAAGCACCGAAAATGGGTGAAGAAAATGTGTCTCAGTAATGCGTGTTTGCCACTCATAATGCACTGTACTTTGTTTGAATAAGCAATAAACTATTTGTGATCTTAGGTTATCCATTGTTCGTTATCAGAGTTAACAGATTCTTTGTGTGATTTTTTTTCAGAATCCCAAGAGTGGATGCCTTAGTGAGCACAGAACAGATATCACCATTGGTCTACATATGTCAGGAAGAATGTTATAATTATGAACTTTGTGTTACACTGAACTTCATTTTGTTAAATTTTGTATTTAACTGAACTTTATTGTGTTAAAATAATAATAAAAAAATAATAGTTCTGATAAAAAACTACAATCTGGAACATTCTTTAGATCAACTTTGTTCAGTGTGTGTCCCATATGACAGAGTTACAGTAAATAAAATATGTGCATTATTCCTCTGTGTTTGTCAATTCCATTTTAAAAGCATGTGAAAGTGGTGTGCCCCTCATGAATGAAGTGTGTATGGATAATAGCAAAAATATTGTTATTATTTACATGATTATAAAAAGTTTTTGTACCCGCGTCAATAACGTTACCGTGACCCACATATTCACCATTTTTATTAATTATGAAATGTGGATTAAATTCTTCAAAACCAGTTTTGAAGCATTGAGACAACACCCCCTTATGATTTAAACTAAAACTGAAAACATTCCATTAGACTTTCATTAGTTTGTGCAAAATATATTACCCAGGGTAACGCGTCTTGGATTTGGTGGGTATAGCTGTTCAACTCTCCTGTGTGCCCTAAAAAGGGCAGCTGCTGTTTCCCTTTTTATGAAATGATAAACTGTGATGGTGTAGCTATCACATCGCAAAATTACAGCTTCCCAGAGAAAGTTTGAAATTTTCGGTCAAATTCAACATTTTGTAACCACTAGCAAAGAATGACAGAAGAGGATTTCACTAATAACAGCAAAATCAGAAATTTGGAACTCGGTAGTTCACACTCTTTAACTGTTGAAATTTTATTAAAACATTTTCGGATGGAATCAATATTTGTGATTTATAATAATAATGGTAGTAGTAGTAGTAGTAGTAGTAGTAGTAGTAGTAGTAGTAGTTAGCCTAATTTACACTCACTGTCAATATATTACTTTATTCTTAAAATTAAGCGAGCAGGAGAATTGTTTGTAAACACATAACCCATATGAATTGGGCAACACAACGTAAAAGTATTTAGCACTACTATAGGGGATGAATGTTAAATGGTAAGAATCGCTCTGGACGTAATATGGCGCTGCTAGTGCTAAAAGATCTGAGGGAATGTTAGTAGGTCTAAACGCCTACTCCGTTAATAAGTCCTGAGCACGATGTTTAAAGTCATAGACATTGTCTAGAATGTTTAAATAACTCAATAAATATCTGAGTCACTTTCACGGTGCTGCCGGGTTTTAAAAAAATGAAAAAAATCTTCGTTATGTCTTACGGCACAGGTCAGGGCCTCAGATTGATTTTTCATTAGATATTCACAGATAATGTATCTGGTTAAATATGGTTAATTTCTAACAGAGATCCAAATGACCGTCTTTTTATCTAAAGACACCTCTGTGAATATCTTCAATGTGAAAAATCAATCTGTGGCCCTGGTAGAACGTAGCGCTAGCCGTGTTTTAAACGCAGCCATTGCAATCCGCATTGGTTGAACCAGGGGGGAGGGGCATCACCTGCTTGAAATTCTCCACAGGTACCTCTGTAATGTGCAGAATTACACAAGAAAGGATACTATATTTATACGATTGCAGGGAATTTACATAAGGATCCACAAATTTCGGGCTCATCCCTCACTCTAGCCATTGACACAGCTGCTTCCCGATTGGCTGGTTGTCTACAGTGGTCGTAGACTCCAAACGCTGATTGGCCACAAGTCTACAGTTACTGTAGACGCTTAACCAGTGAAGTGCCGTTACACCTAGACTTTTCAATTACACGACTTCCATAAGTAGTTTTTATTGTAAAAGAGGTACTGCAGGGGAAAATGTACGCATTTCCTTCAAATACCGTCTGATCTAATGCAAGCATTACTTCAACTTCATCGCAACTTTGATATCCCCAAGTTAATATGACTATTTTTGTCCTTGTTGAATGCACATCATTAGCCTTTGAATGCCGGAAGATAACAACTAATAAATGAATAATAATAATTGAAAAAAGTAAGGAATGCATTATAATTTTTCTTTTTGTTGTTATATCAAAATCTCAGATCACGTGATATTACCAATTTAATGAAATTTTTGTCCTAATAAGAAGTCTTGATAAATTTACAAACATAATTTCCCCTGAAGTCTGTTTAATTCACTTTGCCCACCATGGCAGCGGACAGCATGGTAGAAGACTCCAGTCAAAGCTCATTATTAAGCATACTTACCTGGCACAGAAGTTAACCGTGATCATTAAGGCGGTTCTTCATTAGCGAGGCCTCACCATTGCACAATACGGTTTGGCTGACCTGATCGATTACCCCAAATAGGGGTAACTCGGGTGCGCAATTTTTTATTGTGGGGGACTGCGTTCGCGCTATCCCCTGTTTATTTAATTCAATGTCAATATTGCATTCAGCAACCCTTGAGTACTTCTTCTTCGGAGTACGAAAAGTTACAGATATTGGTATTGCCCTTTTCCCACATCAGCAATGACGTAAAGCCAACACATGGAAAGCAATAGTGACCAAGCTAGCTTTATAATTCCCCGAATCTCAGGGAACCTCTAAGGCATTACGAGCAAAACAGTTTTTAAGTCTTTAGAATTATTTAATAAAGAATCATTGAAAGGTATTACGTCACACAAAGTGCATAGAATGTTTAAATAACTCAATAAATATCTTGAGTCACATTCACGATGCTGCCGGGTTTTAAAAAAATGAAAAAAATCTTCGTTATGTCTTACGGCACAGGTCAGGGCCTCAGATTGATTTTTTGATTAGATATTCACAGATAAAGTATCTGGTTAAATATGGTTAATTTTCTAACCGAGATCCAAATGACCGTCTTTTTACCTAAAGACACCTCTGTGAATATCTTCAATGTGAAAAATCAATCTGTGGCCCTGGTAGAACGTAGCGCTAGCCGTGTTTTAAACGCAGCCATTGCAATCCGCATTGGTTGAACCAGGGGGGAGGGGCATCACCTGCTTGAAATTCTCCACAGGTACGTCTGTGATGTGCAGAATTACACAAGATACGATTGCAGGGAATTTACATTGGGATCCACAAATTTCGAGCTCATCCCTCACTTTAACCATTGACACAGCTGCTTCCCGATTGGCTGGTTGTCTACAGTGGTCGTAGACTCCAAACGCTGATTGGCCACAAGTCTACAGTTACTGTAGACGCTTAACCAATGAAGTGCCGTTACACCTAGACTTTTCTCTTTCACGACTTCCATAAGTAGTTTTTATTGTAAAAGAGGTACTAAAATGGGGAAAATGTACGCATTCCCTTCAAATACCGTCTGACCTAATGCAAGCATTACACTAACTTCATCGCAACTTTGATATCCCCAAGTTAATATGACTATTTTTGTCCTTGTTGAATGCACATCATTAGCCTTTGAATGCCG